GAAAGCATACGCACTTCTTGTAGAGGAGTCCTGCTAGCACGTGGTGCATGAATGCTTGAAAGCAGTGGGAGCCATTTTGGAGACCAAACGGCATAACTCTGTATTCATAGGTGCCCAGCGGCGTGAACATGGCCGTCTTCCACTCGTCACCTTCCCTCATGCGTATGAGATTGTAGGCTCCGCGTAGATCCAACTTGGTGAAGATCCTCCCCTTCCTCACCGTCGCGAGCAGGTCGTCAATCTTGGGCATGGGGAAAGCCTTGGGTTTTGTCATCGAGTTTATGGCCCTATAGTCCACAATGAGTCGTTTTTGGGGCGTGTCCTTCTTCTTCACGAAAAACACAGGACTGCCCCCACTGCCTTGGATTCTCGGATGAATCCCGCTTCAAATTGTGATCTATGAACTCCCTGAGCTCCTGCATCTCATCTTCAGACATGGAATACAGCTTCGCAGTCGGCAGCGTTGCCCCTGGTAAGAGGTCAATTGCACAGTCGTAGGGCCTGTGGGGTGGTAATTGGTCAGCTTCCTTCTCGCAGAAGACCTCCAAAAATCCCTTGTACTTGTGGGGCACTGCCTGCACCATGCCTAGATGCAGCTGTTGCCCTTCCTCCCGGCCCTCCTCGTCCTCACCAATCTGGATGCAATGTTGTGCACAGTAGGACGAGCCAAAGGTGAGCTGCCGCTGGTACCACGCCAAGGATGGGCTGTGTCTATCCAGCCAACTCATGCCTAGCACTATGGGCGTGTCTGACAGTTGGGTGACATTGAAACTGATGACCTCGCGATGATTCCCAATTTTCAGCAGCATGGGTGGCGTCTGTTGTACCACTTGCCCACCCAGCAACTTCCTGCCATCTACAGTGACCACATTCAGAGGCAGCGTGGCTGGTAGTAGCGCTATGCGATGCTGCTTGACGAACTGCACCCCCACGAAGTCTGCGTTGCTCCCTGAGTCAATCGTAATGGGGACTTCCAGGGTGAGTCCATTAGGCAGCTGGAGAGTAGCAGTGAGCTGCACCACTGGCTTAGGTGGTAAGGGGTCTGTAGGCTGCAAAAGCGCTGGGGACTGCTTCATTGACTTGCCTGGCGGAGCCCCAGCGTCTCTCCCTCCAACCAGGCATTCTCGTTTCCCTGAAACTGCTCCCCTTGGAAAGCTTCCCCTGTTACTGTTGCTAAGGCTGCAGTGTGCTTCTGGAGCCTCTGGGGACACTCTTTAGCCATGTGCCGTGCACTGTCACAGATGTAACACTTCCTGGTCCCTCTAGGAGGCTTCGCTTTGACTGCTCCTGACGCTGAGGCTCCGGCAGCTGTCTGAGCCTTTGCACCACCCAGTTCCATCTGTTCTTCCCCCGCTGCCAGGACAGGCGAAAGGCTTGAACGTTCCAAGTCCCTGGAAGGAAAAGGAGGCGCTCTAGCTGGTGGGCGGACGTGACGCCCCTCCTCCCTGTGCCAAGGGCGGTCTTCTTGGCGCACCCCTATCGTGAGTGCCCTCTGCACGACGTCTGCTAGGGTTTGAGGTCTGTCTCCCCTAGCCAGCTCATCTTTCACTGAGCCATGCAGCCCTTCCCAAAACAAGTCCCTCACTGCCAGGGAGTCCTTTTCCCAGCCCAGCACATTCAGCAATGCAAAAAAGCGAGAATGGTACTGACGCACTGTAGCCTTGCCCTGCCGCAATCCATGCATCTCCTGACGTGCCACATCAACGTCAACAGTAGATTGGAAGCAAGCGTCCATGGCTTTGAGAAATTCATCAGAGTCCCTGCGTGCAAGACCATCTTCGCGCCATAAATTGCGTAACCAATTCCTTGCTTCCCCATGCAGGTGCGACACAATGAACCCCACTTTTTCCTCCTCATCCTTGAAGTCCTTTCGAAGTAAATGCAGTGCATATACGACGTCTGCTCTGAAATTGGGATAATGCTTCAGGTTCCCATCGAAGTGGGCTACTAAATTGCCCCCCCTTCGTCCCAGTCCGATTCCCTCTGATCTGGACCCCGGGAACCCCTCTCTGCACGCCCGATCCCACCTGGCTTGCAGATCCTGGCATCGCGCTTCTGCTTCAGCAACTGTCTTCTGAGAAACCACGACAGCAGTGGAGAGCTCGGTGACTGCGTTTTGCAGGGACGCTATCTGCTCCTCAGTAGTCATTGCTGCCAAACTTCGTGAGCTGTGCAAAAAAAAAATTTTGCGGTTTTTTTGTTTTGAGAGGGGACTTACTGTCAAGGCTGCCTCAAGTCTTAGCTCACAAAAGACCAACGCCTACGTCTTCTTGTATACAAAGGTGTTTATTGCAGTTCATGGTTTGCTTGACATCCTAGGCGTGCAGCCTTACGTCTCTTACGCTAGACCGCCGAAGTCCCCTCTGAGTCAGTCCCTCCTCTGCACCAATTTAAGAGACTTGCGCTGCTCCACCTCTTTCTCTCCTTCCTTTTCCGCAGGGTCCTTCTGCCCCCTGGGGTTGCGCCCCTTCTGGATTCCTCTGACGCTGAATCCCCAGACTGCTCTTCCCCCCTCCTGCGGGCTTTGGGACCTGGCCCCTCCTCCGGGCTCCCTGCACTTCCGCGCGCCTCTACATTTGAACTAGGCGCGCGCCAAACCTCTAACTTTCCTTTTGACAGTTACACTACTCCCTTCACTGCTCCCCTCCCCTTCCGTGAGGGCGGCTTGCTCTGACCCCCCTCCTTTCTCTGCTGCTGGAGCTGCTTCCTCTGACACACTGGAAACTCCACCCCCTTCGCTGCACTTTGGTGGGGAGGCTGGTCCTGACGCCCAGCTGCCACTTTGGGATCCTCCGCTGGCACCCTGCTCCTGACACTTCCCCCCTGGGGCTCCCCTGGCCCTGACCACCGGCGCCCCCTTCTGGGAATCCTCTGATTCGCTGGAAAGACTCATGGAATCCCTTGAGTCATTGTCATCCTCTTCCTCGCTGGCTTGGAATTCCTCCCCCTCGCTCTCCATCTCCTGCCTACCCTGTGCCTCTCTCTCTGAACCCCTGACAGTATGTAACCTGAAGCGTCTGTAATCCGAGCTACCACTGTATCTAGGTTTCCCCCTCTGTGTCTAATAACTGAGGTCAAATAAGTGTTGTTTACTTTTTATAAAACATAGAAGATGGATCTCCCTCGGGAGATTCTGGACTCTCCTTCTGTGGTAGCCAAGTTTTACCATCCAAGTTTGAGCAATGTGGTAGCCAAGTTTGACCCCACCCCCTTGCTTATGTTTCTAATGCGTAGGCCACACAAGCACAGAATAAACACATACATAGGTGGGGCACCTGCAGTAGAAAAGCATCCATTGTGACTCTGCCTGGTGGTGCCATGTGCCATATAAGGGAATGATCAAAATAAAGAAGAGCGGTTGGTGGTGTTTGTGAAGTTAGGTAAGAAGGCATTTGTTACAGTTGTTATAAAAAGGTCCCAGAAACTGTGCCTGGGTGCTCAGTTCTTTTGGGAGTTATCCGACTGAGACGGTTTCGCTGCACGGCAGAAATAAAAGAATTTTGGACTCTTTCCTCCCGTCTCCTGAGTCTGATTGGTGGGACCCAGGAAGAACAGGTGCTTTCCTGCAACATTTTCTTGGAGGCTTCTAAGCAGAGGTTGGATGGCCATCTGTCATGGATGCTTTAGTTGAGATTCCTACACTGCAAGGGGTGGGATGAGAAAGATGACCCTTGGGTTCCCTTCCAGTTCTATGATTCTATATTTTTCTCCTGCAATAATATTTCATTTTGTTCCTATCATTTTATGTAATTGTATTTTGTAGATATTATAAAAAATATAAATAAAGCATGTTTTATTTACAAACAAAACATTTAAATAGCTACCTTTCTACCAGTAGGAGCGGGGGGGGGGGGCATGGCTAGGATTTTTGTTGGGGGGCAGGCTTTTGTTAGGGAGGGCAGAACCTTAGATTTGTATTGGCTTGCATTAATTTTTACTTATGGGGGGGAGCTGCCCCCTGCCCCCCCGGCTATGTCCAGGGGGTGGGACTACAAGATGGAAACAATATCGGAAAGGGGCCACAGTTGGAAAAGGTTGGGAAACACTGGTCTACAGTGACTGGCAGCAGCTTTCTAGGATGGGAACATAAGAAACTGCCTTATACAGTCAGTTCATTGACCACCTAGCTGAGCATTGTCAACACTGTCTGGCAGAAGCTCTCCAGGGTTTCAGAATGGGATATTTTGCAGTCCTACCTGGAGATGCTGGAGATTGAACTTGAGTTCTTTTGCATGCAAAGCAAGTGTCCTACCACCAAGCTATGGCCTTTCCATTGTTGTTATGATTGTGGTTATTAGTTCAATTAAGAAGCACTTCCCATGAGGCTTCTTGAAGTGACCTACAATATAATGCCATATATAAAACAGTTGCATATATTAAAACCACTTGAAAAGTGCACACACACACACACACACACAGAGAGAGAGAGAGAGAGAGAGAGAGAGTGAGTTTGGGTTGTATCCAACTAAGTCTTACTTGGAGTACAACCACTACTTAATTTCAATGTGCCTACTCTGAGTAGGACCTTTTAAACCACAACAGTGAAAATAACAGTGAATGGTGAAAATAACATATAAAAATGCATTGTATGAGGGGAAATGGTTTGGAAAAATGCATGTAAGGCAAACTCCCATACCAAAATGTGTATATTTTCACTAAAATTTTGGCAGATTTCTGTGAGGGCTTAAAAACAAAACCAAACCACAAAGTGATGCAGAAAGGTGGACAAGTGTATTTAAGACTGGAAAAAGAAGAAATGGAGAGAAAACCAAAATGGGCTGTTTTGTACATCCCTAGGCAAAATGCTCAGAGCTAAACCACCTGCAACAGATAGCTGTCTGGTCTTTATTCAAACACCTTGCATCGAGGCATTTCCCCTCCAGATTAATTCTCTCTAAAGTGGCTCAGTGGACCTAGAATGGTTTGATCAAGATTTGCATGTCCTCCATAGCCAACTCATTGTTGTCAATACTAGAGTTTGTATGAAGGTCCAGGAATGGTATCTGGCTCATAGCTCAGTGGCAGAGCTACTGCTCTGTATGTAGGAAGTCACAGGTTTGATCCCTAGTATCTCCAGGTAAGGCTGGAAAAGACTCCTGTTGGAAATCCTGGAAAGCAGCTGTCAGTCAGTGTTGAGAAAACTGAGCTAGATGGGATACTGGTTAGATTAGTATAAGGCAACTTCCTATGTTCCTATATTTCTGTTTCATTCACAGAACGGGAACATGAAATGACTACAGATACTTTCCACCAGCAATTTACATGAGTGCAGCCACTGAAAAACACAATCTTGCAAATTGCTGCCAACTGCATTTGTATCTCAGGCATTGCTGATACTCGTACAGTGGCGCCCCGCAAGATGAATGCCTCGCAAGACGAAAAACTCGCTAGACGAAAGGGTTTTCTGTTTTTTGAGTCGTTCCGCAACACGAATTTCCCTATGGGCTTGCTTCGCAAGACGAAACGTCTTGCGAGTTTGTTTCCTTTTTCTTAAAGCCGCTAAGCCGTTAATAGCCGCTAAGCCGCTAATAGCCGTGCTTTGCAAGACGAAAAAACCGCAAGACGAAGAGACTTGCGGAACGGATTAATTTCGTCTTGCAAGGCACCACTGTATATTGAGCCAGGAAGACCAGAAATCAAGTCCCTATGCAGTCATTAATTTCTCACTTGAGTAATATTGTGCCAGTCTCACCTACCTCACAGGGTTGTTGTGAGGATCGAATGGGGAGGAGAACCATATCTACTTCTCTGAATTGTATTGAAAAGGATGACATAAAAAAGCAATAAATGGATTCTTCCTACATCATTGAGTCCCTGGACAGTTGGGATTCTCACTGCAGAGAAATGAACAAATGTCTGAAGCACTTATGCTTGTTTCCAGCATTCTGAAGGCCAATTAGTGCATAGTTTCAATTGCTCTATGTTTATTGTACCCTAGGGGAAGTTTAACAATATTGGTGTTCTATGGTTCCCATCAGTCTTTCTCTGCCCCTTGATAATGCCAATCTGTATCGAGCTCCTTCCTCACCGCTCCATATAAGCAATAAGTCCATTTCAAATGAGCTTCAGTGTGCCTGTGGCTTGATTGTCACACTGCATAGGCAGCAAGCTGGTGGTTCAAACAACTGGGAAAGAAAGTCTTATTTCATGCAATTCCCCATGTGATTCAAGGCTTCACAGATTGTAGCCAATGTCAGTCCTATTCAGAGTAGATTCATCGGAAATAATGAACCTCGTTTGTTAATTTCAATGGGTTGGATACAGTCCCATATATTTCTAAGATAATAGCTTTATTCAGTCTGAACGTGCCAGAGTAACAATTCTGTAGGGGGCTGGAGGCACATATTTCAGCCCCACCACCAACATCCCCCAATACTTTGCCCCAACCTCAATGTCCCTGCACCTCTTTCCAGCTTTTTATGTTTAACCCAGTTGTGAGGAACCTATGGCCCTCCAAATGCTGCTGAACTGCAACTCCCACCAGCCCTGGTCATTGGTATACTTATTGGGGCTGAAAGGTGTTGTAGTTCAGTAACATCTGGAAGGCCAAAAGTTCCCTACACCTGATTTAGCATGAAGGGAGCTTCTAAATGTGATTAGCTGAATGTACTTAGAAATCTCCTGGGGACTGGGAACCCAGCATTACAGGGATGTTGCTGTTACTCTCAGGTCCTCTTTGTGTGCTCCCCACAGGAACCTGGTTGGCTGCTGCAATAAGAGACTCTTGGATTAGATGGGCTATTGGCCTGATCCAGCAGGCTTTTCTTATGTTCTTATCCTAGCATTTGACAAAGGCCCAAGTTTGCGTGCACTTGTTTTCATTCATCTGGTTGGGGTCCTGCATCTTCTCTCACCCTCTTCCTCCATGTCGCCCACCACTCAACATCCTCACTGGAGCCCACAAGGAATGTTCCATTCTACCAATGAACAGGGCAACCATAGATTAAAAGACTTGAGAGCAATGCCAATAACACATTCCTCACAACAAACCTTTGTTGCTTGCAAGAAATTTCAATGAACAAGAGTAAGAGTTATGGGCTAATTTGGCCCCCGCCTTGTGATTTCCAATATTTTTAAAGATTTTTTAAATTTTATTTTTACAATAATTTACAAGCTGTCTCTGACACTAGAAAAAATCAGCTCCAAGTCTTTTTTTAGGGGGAAAGAGTTAAATGCAAAATTAAAAGTGACATATTTCTAGTAAAGCTGCTGGGACTAGAGTGCAGGGGATTAATGATGCCAGAATAAGCACTGATCGTAAGAGGAGAATAATGAATGCAGAGACACTGAGTTCCTTGTAAGGAAGTGACAGGATGGGCGTCCTCAGTGATTTTATTTGGGCAATAAAGGAGTGGGACTTCTAGATTGTTAAAGAAGTCTATTTGACCTTGTTTTAGTTAGGCACGGGTGGGGGAACCTTTTCCAGACCCAGGGCCACATTGCCTTCTGGGAAACTTTCCAGGGGCCACTTGCCAACCCCGGGTGGGGCTAGATGCCACAATGAGCAGAGCAAAAAATGTATTTTGTTTTAAACCTTTATTCAATAGGTTCCATACACACCTCTCTATCCTCCAGCTGGGCAGCAAAAGGCTACCCAGTTGGAGGATTAGATGTACCTTGGAGGGGTACAGATGACAGAGTTCTAGCATGGCCTGAACCTGTATGTAGATGGCATGTGACAGTGATGGCCAGATCGAGAATGATGGAGCTAGTGATGATAGCTACTAGTCATGCCTGCTTAATAGAGTTTCAGAGCCATTGTACCAGTGTATACCAGCTGTTAGGGGCCAGAGAGCAACAGTAGGCTGTTGTATTCATGCTCTGCTGTAACCATTTGGCTGACATTGAATTTTGCTAGATGAGTTTCTGGACTAGATGGACCATTGGTCTTATCCAGTATGGTTCTTCTTGTGCTGTTATGTCACAGGAAATATGCACCTTTAAAAATAACTTAGAGGCACCCACAAAAATGGTTTCTTTGAAAAACCTAAATATAGAACATTGGGCAAAAGACCCCTTGGACTTTTCAAGAGAATAAAACTTAAAAAACATGAGGACATTGGAGAGGCAGTGATGGACTGGTTGCAATACTGACTGGTTGCAGGACTCGTTGCACAGACTGTCTGTCTTGTTTAGAGTTTCATGACCCAAAGCTCACAATCTGAGATGGAGATTATTGAGAGCAAAGAAAAATAATTTCCAAAATGTACAAGTTATTATTGGAATGGATAACGAAAGATTAACTAGCAAAATAAGTTATGATTCATTGGGCAAGAAATATAGGCCATAACATAGAGATGACTGCTTGGGAGAAATTATGGAAAAAATATTTAAAATTCACAGCATGTTACACACTAAGGGAAAATATGAAAATGATTTATAGGTGGCATCTGACACTGAGTAAATTAACTAAGATGTATAAATCTGAATCAGATATCTGTTGGAAATGTAAAGAAAAAGAAGGTACATTTTATCACATGTGGTGGACATGCAAAAATGTTAAGGCTTACTGGGAGATGATATATAATGAAATGGGAAAAAATGCTCAAAAATCATTTATTAAAAGCCCAGAAGCTTTTCTTTTAGGCCTAATAGATGTAAGTGTATTAAAGGATCAGAAATCTATTTTTATGTATGCAACTACTGCAGCCCAGATGGTATATGCTCAGAAGTGGAAGGAGGGTTCAATGCCAACAAAGGAAGAATGGCAGATGAAATTGATAGAATAAATAGAAATGGCAAGATTGACAAACAGAATAAGAGATCAAGATGAAAAAGCATTTAAAGAAGATTGGAAATGTTTTGTAGATTATCTGGGAAATTATTGTAGGCATATTAAAAAGTTAACAGTAATAGAGTAAATACAGCAATAACAATTATTTGGATATAAAACAGAGAAAGTGAAAATATTGGGAATAAGAAAATAATGAAGTGATGCGTGGAAGGGGTGTAGGGAACTCGAAACCAGATGTGTATTTTTTTAAATCACTGTTAATTGTTTCAATTGTAAAAATGAAAATGATAAATATTCTTTTAAAAAAAGAAAACAAAAACTTTGTTGCAGTGGAGGCTGGTGCCCATTGGGACTGGTGGGGTTCAAAGCAGGGAGTCCAATAGTTGCTGAAGCCAGAGCCAATGATAAGCAGAGTCAACTAATTTTAAACCTGTCTCCATCTTCCACCCTGCTGAGTTTTACAAAGGTAACACTGCGGCAGAAGTTGACAGGCAGTGCCAATCTTAGTGCCACCTTCTGGAATGGTTGTATGTATGGAGGCAGGCATGCAGGCAGATGGGGGCTGGGTGAAGGCAGACTGATCATGGGAAAGCAGTGCCCCACTTCCCCATATGGACCAGCCCCCACTTATAGGGTAATAGACATAAGTTAGAGTGCAAGGCAACTTTCAAATATTTCTATTATTCAAGCGCATCTGTACTTGAAGTAGTACCCGAAGCAGTACTATTAGCTTTTTATACAAGGACATGGCCGCGTAAGAAACAAACTAATTTTCTGCAGCTTCTCGTTCTTTGTTGCTGTTACTTGTTGGAGCTGACAGTCAAGCGCTGCTTTGTGCTTGCCTAAATAGACTCTTGCAGCAGGAAGAGGGAAATGAAAAGGATTTATTGCATAGCAGTCTATCAAAGGTCAAGTATATAAAACAAATTCCTTTTTATTTCAAGTAGACGGAGATAATCTGGGCAGCAGTCCCGACTTCTTTGTAGCAAAAGCCTACACACACACACACACACACACGCACAAGCACACACACACACACACACACACACACACTAAAAATGTCAGATAGAGGAAAGAAAGCACATCTTTCTACAGGGTGGGGATAGGGAATTGGCATCAGTTCAGCTGGGATACAAATCAAATTGTTAAAATGTACATATTTATTGCAATGTGGCTTTATTACTTGGATGTTTATTATTCTGTAAAGCACAGGAGCAAAAGGGAAAAAAGAGAGGGTAGAATTAACCTATTAACACTGTATTGCAGCTATTTAATGGGCATCCTGTTCCTTCAGTGGCCAATCAGATGTCTGTGGGAAACTCACAAGTAGGACCTAAGCACAAGAGC